GACAGGCAAATAGAGATAAATAGAGATCGTAGTATAGAAGATAGTGATTTTAAGATCACACACTCATATATGTTTTTTAATAACTATGAAATGCAGACAGCAGAAGAGGAAAGGAAAGAAAGAAAGAAAAGAAGAGAGAGAGAAAGAAAGAAAGAAAGAAAGAAAGAAAGAAAGAAAGAAAGAAAGAAAGAAAAGAAAGAAAGAAAGAAAGAAAGAAAGAAAGAAAGATAAGTAGATGGATAGATAAATAGATAGATAGATAGATAGATAGATAGATAGATAGATAGATAGATAGATAGATTAACTTTAAGATCTCCCACTCAGTTCTGGTTTTTGATAACTATGATACAAGTGGGTAGGCAGACAGCATAAGAGGACAGATGATTTTGGAGTCTCTAGCCCCCCTTTCTCCCTATTCTATAGACATTGTATAGAAGATGATCAGCCTGCAGTTTGCGGAGTAGGAGATGGAAGGTGCCCTAGGCAGGGCACTATTGTCCTGGCTGGTGGTAAGGAAAGTGGAGCAGTGTGTATAATGGGATCCATAGGTGGGAGGCTGGGATGTGTGACTCCTTGGAGTGAGCCCCTCCTCTGTACAGAGCGCCCCTCCTTCTCACTCTGCTGACGGTATAATGATATAATCATGAGGGGTGTCAGATCCCGCATTTGAACTTGCAGCCAACAAGACTCTGGTTCTTCTTTCACAAGGACTCATTACAGACACACGCCGGAGACAGAGGTCTGCCACCAGCTGCCCTTGTCCAAGGAGGAACTCTCTAGGGTGATAAAAGCACAGCCAGAAGCTAACCCCACAGCATCCTCCTGCAGCCTCTGACCCAGGGATATACTAAGCCATCATCCACAGGCAACTCTGGAATACCAGAACACAGCACTGGACAACACTGGACTTGATGCAGCCAAGACACTAAGAAGTCATCTTTAAAGGTAATAGACTTTACTGGCTCTTTTGTCTTTTTTTGACAATGGATTCATTCAATGAAGCATCCTAAAAGTAGTTTAGATGTCCCCTCATCCTTTTAGGAGTGGATCTAGGCACACACATGCAGCCCATTGCAGGCTGCATGTAACTTTGGGGTGCATTGTTCTGCAGCACAATAGAGAAGGTGTGTAGAGATGTGGTAGGGATGCACACAGTGAGGATGGAGCTAGAGATCTTCAGGACAGATGATGACATCTGGCAGTGTGTGATCCTATCTGATATCAGGCACTACTCTGCTCGTGTTCCTGGAAAGCAAACTCCTTTCTCTGGAGCTGCAGACTATCTGCCTTTGTCCAAAGCTTGGGAACCACAAAGGGGGCTCATGTTCTACTGAAGAGGGAGCACAGCGTTGTAGATCTCTGATGTATTAAGTCCATGGACCTCCAATTCCATTAAAATAAAAAAAAACTAAAAGCATGCAAAGTCTGAAGACAAGCTGATGACGTGCAATACTTTTCTATACATTTGTTGGCTTAGCATGGGGGGGTGGCTCCTCTTCCCCAAGTTAAATATTGCCATTCAAAGTCCCATATGGATGGCATAAAATGCAGGGTTAATATTATTATTATAATACAGGATTTATATAGCACCAACAGTTTGCGCAGCACTTTACAAAACAAAGGTAGATATTACAGTTACAATACAATTTGGTACAATAAGAAATTGGGGGCCCTGCTCGTTAGAGCTTACAATCTAGGAGACATAGCATTGTAGTCTCTCTAGGAATCTCCAATTCCATTAAATATAGCTGCATGCAAAGTATGAATACAAGCTGATGGCATGGAGCAATAATCTACTATGTAGCATTGGAGGCTCCTAACCCCCCCAAGTTAAATTCTGCCATTCACAATCCCACATGGGTGGCATTTTATGCAGAGAGAACACAGCATTTTAGATCACCCATGGATCTCCAATTCAATTGAAATAAAAAGTAACTGCATGCAGAGTGTGAAGACAAGCTGCTGGCATGCTGCAATAATCTTCCATGTAGCACTGGAGCTTCCTAACCCCCAAGTTAAATATGCCACTCACAATCCCATATGGATGGCACCTGGTGCTTATTTAGTCCAGATGATTACTGCAATGAATATATATTATTGATACATATATATATATATATATATATATATATATATATATATATAATCTTATATAAAAAGTAACAGTTCTATTGGGTGTCATACAAATCAGCGAGTGGATGAATGATAAGGACACTGGTGTCATTTGAATGGAGCCCTGGCTTCTATTCCCCAAGTTAAATATTGCCACATACAGATGGCATCTAGTGCAAGGAGAACACAAGATTGTAGATCTCTGATGTGTAAAGTCTACAGACCTCCAATTTGCTTTAAATAGAAACTAACTACTATGTATCACAAGCATGCAAAGTGTGAAGACAAGCTGATGGCATGCGGCAATAATCTGCTATGTAGCATTGCAGGCTCCTCTCCCCCAAGTTAAATATTGCCAGTCACAATCCTATATGGATGGCACCTAGTGCAGGGGTCAGCTCTTGTTCCAAGTTAATGAGTACATTTCTCCTAAGCCTGTTGCTGCCCAAGGCTTATGTACACTGCCCATGCTGTGTGAGCTCTCTAGATCCTAAGAGGAGATATTGACTTCGCAGATGTTAAGCTGTATTGTTGCATTTCAATAGCTCTGTGTAAAGTAATATCACCCCATTCAAGGGTACCAGTAACAGAGTGACTTTATGTGTGACAGAGTGACTAAGGATTTACTCCAGCCAAGGAGAAAAAAAGAGTATCCTAAAAAAAAAGCCAGTCAACACCTTGTCACTTAGATTTAGTGAGGTAGTTGCTGTAAATGAACCTGCTGTGCCCCATTCTGCTGCTGATCAGTTGTAGCCAGGCTGATGTGTTTTATGAGAGTCAGCGCTGCATTGTTCTACTGCTGCTGCTGGGGATCCTGCGATGTCTAGGAATGTGCAGAGTACTAAAGAGGGTGAAGGTGACCCCTGCTGGACGGATAAAGCACTGCACTTCGCAGCATCCCCACTGCAAAGCTCCTGTCCACGAGGTTCTCACACACCCCCTTTGTGTCTACTCTGCTGAGAATCATTCATTTTCCTCATCTACCCATTGCCAGATATCAATTGGACCATGTCGAAAATAGGCAGACTTGATTTTTCTATAAACCATTTTTTTTGTTGCCTTTAAATCAAAGTGTAGCTTCTTGCTTGAGATATATTGGCTTCTGATCTGATGCAGTCTAGCAGTGATTGTGTTAATGCATTAGTGGGCATTCATGATCCTGCGCAGGTGGTAATGCTAGCTTTAGCTTGTATTTATTAGCGCCAAAATGGAGCCACAACCTTTTTATTTTTCTGCAGTGATGGGTTAATGCTGCAAAGGGCATCCATTACCTGCCTAATCAGCTGTTGAAAAAGTGCATGTTCCAGCAAGCTGTGCCAGCTTTGGTCTGTAGGGGCATAGTGTACTTGGTGTGGGTGTAATGTGCCAAGAGGAGACAGAGGACAATGAAATAAGAGTTGCACTCTGCTTTTGGGTTGTATTTAGTCCAGATGACTATTGCAAATATATATATATATATATATATATATATGGATTTTAGTGAAGATGTATACATATAAAAAGTAACAGTTCTACTGGGTGTCATAAAGGTCAGTGAATGGATGAAGGATAAGCACACTGGACGCTGGTGTCCTTTGAATGGAGCACTGGGGAGTCCTGGCTGGGATCTGATTTCACCTCTGGAAGGATGTAGTCCCAGATGAGTCTCTCCTAACAAAAGCCAGCTGTCTCCATGAGCCACATCTAGGGCGGTGACTGCAAAGAGGGGAGGGAGGGAAGCTGCAGTGTACAATCGGACAATGTCCAGGGAATATTCATTTTATCAATCGCCACGTGGACTAGGGAAATACAATACAGCGTGGCCTTTATTCCCTTCACTCAAACCCACTGCCATCATTTACATGAAAGCTGCAAACACATCACTTGTCACTTACTTGTGTCTTACGCCTGCCCGCACTGATTTTTCCCACCTGGTTTTACATTTGTTGGCTTGGCACAAAATTAAAAATTTTTCTACAGTTTAATTCAATGATCAACTTAAAACTTAATTATTTAAAACATGTTCTTACAGTGAATTTGATTTTTTTTTTAATAGCGGATCAAATATTGTACAAGTTGGCATAGAGTGCAATGAGGTGTCTATTAGACTGACCACTAAAGGCATAGTTGCTATAGAATGGAAACTTTTACCCCTTCCTCTAAATATATTTATTTAATCATCAAGAAGTTTATTGAGAAAAAAAAAAAAAACAAAATGAAAAAAAAAAAGAGCCTTCCAGAGTTTCTATACAGCAAAAGACACAGGTCATTAACTGATTTTAGTATAAGAATATCCAAATAGTTTACACAAGCTGAAATCAATGTGTACATAAAGAACCTGATCCCCCACAGCTGTAGGGTAGTGCTTTTCTTGGGATGCAACTCACCCCTTGGCATCAAATCTAGTGTCCCAAATGTTGTCTTACATACAATACCATTTTACATTAGTCGTATGTTACTACTGTAGGTCCACTGGCGCTTAGCCTGGGCATTCAACCACCCATTCCATACTTTATCATACTCATATGAACAGCCTGAATATTATTACAGCCATTTATATAGTGCCACATCAGTCCATACCCTCAGGAAACCTACAATTTACAATCAAATTATTATGAGCTTACAATTTAATTATTATGGTCGTATGTACAGTGTATATATATATATATATATATAAATATATATATATATATAACTAATTATAACTGTTTCTGAAAAAGAGTCCTATCATCTCCCATCCATTGACCTAAAATATGCAAGGCCATCAACATGCTGAGCACACAGCATATAACTGTATATATATATATATATATATATATATATATGTTTACTTGTATTAATTTTTTTTGGACTCAGCATGTACAATTGGTAGCCAAGCCTGTTTCAAGTCACTGAATGGGAGCTAGAGGAGCTTCTTTTCAGAAATAAAATAAATTAGTGCCTATACAATTCCATAATATCAACCACCCACTTAGAGGAAACGGCAGTGCTTGACAACTGCTTTTTGTTAAATAGCACCAGTCAGGGGGAGGGAGAGGAGGAGGTGTATGTGCAAACTTCAGAGGAGGAGGTTGCTGGGGAAAGGATCAGAGCAGTACATAGAGAGGTAAGGATTAGCCTGGGTCACTGGAGCAGCACCATAGTCACAGTGATGTCATGGTTCACAATCAAATAGCTGTCGCTTAAAGTTTCTTTACTGGACACAAAAGGGAACTTCCACTGGATTTATTCTGACTTCAAAGAGTTAGGATGCATTATTTTTTGGGCTGCAATAGCCATTAAATATATCAGGCATTGGTGTTTAAATATTTATATTTGCCCTAAAGGCAAACAGGCTAGTAAAAGGTAGTGCATAGACTGCTTTTTTTTATTTTAATGATGTGCTTTCCATTTTAAAGAGTTTACACTTTTACTATGTGTGAACTGCAAGAGATCACTTCTTTATCAATGCAGAAAGGTCATGGCCTGCCCTCCCTATTTCATTATCTCCAACAGGGAGCCTCTACGTTTTCAGCAGCAGTGCCTGTTCAGGAGAAAATTGGTATTACAGTTCATCTTTTCAGATGTAATAGACTTATGTTATGTCCCTTTGTCCAAACACAGGATTTATAGACTACCAATTGGATGTAACAGCGGTAAGGCAGAGTTTGTACTGTTGGGAGGGGGGTTTAAGAGATGTTCACTTGCCTCTTTCACAACATAGTGGGATCTGATGTAGGGTTTATTTTCCCTTTAGGCTGGGGATCTCCTTTAATGCCTAAATGAATTTTCATTTTAAATCAGCTAACTAAAAAAAAAAGTGTGCAGTCATATTATTTATTTTCTTTAGAAAGCAGCCACAACTTGAGTAGAAAATCCTGCCAGCATGCTGTACAGAAGGACCTTAGCTCTTTGTGTGGAAGCAGCAGTCTCTCTGCAATCAACAAAACTCATGCTCCCTGTTGAATTACTGTATATAATTGGAGAACTATAGCTTTTATTCAGCATGGGGACCTCTGCAGAGACATACAATCCAATGAGAGCACCAAAGAAATGTCCCAACGTCCAAAGCAATTTAATGATAAAATTCATAGCAAAATAGAGCCAACATGTTTGGGAAGCAGACACACTTCATCAAGGCTGTGATTTACTGCTTGGAAAGTCTTAGGAGGGCAGGTTGCACTAATGCTAATGAATGTAGCTATAGATGTTTTCCCTGATGAAGGAGTGTGTCTGGCCTCCGAAACGTGTTGGCTCTATTCTGCTACGAATACATTTTTATCATTAAATTACCTTGGAAACGTGGACGTTTGTTTGGTGCTCTCATAGGATTGTATGTGTGTGGATTCTAAAATCTGGGTTCTTTCCTTTATTTCTGAGGGTTGTCCCCATTTTTGGAGTGCTGCTGAACCAAAGTCAGTGACAATTTCAATGACCCTTAGAAAATCTTAATTCAGCACCCTGTTTGTTCTTCTGTTTAGACCTCTTCAAGAGACAGCTTCCTTCATATCATCACATCAAGAGCAAGGGTCCCTCTCCTCACCATGCTCCCAGGGGACAGGCTTTTCTACTTAAGCTGTGGCTGGTCTCTGAAGAAAACAAGCCTTAAAGCGGATCTAAAGTCTCTATACTTACTTGTTCAATGGTCCTGCACTGGCATCAGCATCTTCTTCTAAGTGCTGGGATCCAGGCCTCTTCATTGGCCTTCTGGGGATGACATCACTTCTGCGTATGGGCAGGAGGCGTGCATCCTGGCACTCGGAGACCTGCCTAACACTGTAAGCTGAGAGCTGCTCATGTGCAGCTCAGTTTACAGTGCTGGAGGCAATGGCAAGCAGGCATGCAGAGGCATTTTATTGCAGAAGAGACAGTGCATGTCTCTTTTGTAATAAAAGCCTGCCTGCTGGGATTCAGTTCCGCTTTAAGACTTAGCACACCTTTGGTTTAGATACACCTGGAATTTTTTTTTTTTTTTTTATGGGTCACCATTTTTGTTAATCAGCAATTCCACCCAAAACAGAATTTTCTGTTTTAGATGATTGTGGGTAGTGTTTTATTTGCCATTTGATAAAAAGAATAAGCACCTTTTCTTACCATGCAAGCATGACATACTATCCCTGCAAAAATATATATCCCCCCAAAAAAGTCCCACACCAAATTGTGGATCAAAACAATGCATATCTTCTAGTGCCCAATAAGTTGCTTCATGCAGATCCTCTGTGCTCCACCACCATACGCCAATATATTGCACTCACTAACCGTCCATGACCTCTTAATTAAAAGAAGGTCTCATGCGCTTTGTGTCTCCAAGGCTTTGGACCATCAGTGGATATCCTCTCAATAGTCTTCCAATTTTACTCCATAATCCAAGATCATTATAAATCAGAAGGATAAATTACTCATAGTACAGTATGTTTATTGTAAAAAATAGATAAAACCAACAAGAGTACACTCACATTAGTTGGTGGCCAATCCTCAGTATTAATACACTCAGTTTAAACCACTAACACCGCCCACGTAATGGATTTGGCGTGTGTTCCTTTGACCAGAAGTGGATGTGACGTTACCGAACCTGGATGTAGGCTGGATGCGACACTCTGCCTCTACATGTTTCGCCAATCAGGCATATGCAGGGAGCTACATGTTTCACCAATCTGAAAACTTCCTGAAGATACCTGATTGGCGAAACATGTAGAGGCAGAGTGTCGTGTCCAGCCTACATCCGGATCCGGTAAAGTGACATCCGCTTCCGGTCAAAGGAACACATGCCAATTCCATCACATGAGCGGTGTTAGCGGTTTAAACTGAGTGTATTAGTGCTGAGGATTGGCCACCAACTAATGTGAGCATAGTCTTGTTGGTTTTATCTATTTTTTACAATAAACATACTATACTATGCAAAATTTCTCCTTCTGGTTTATGATGATCTTATGGAGTAAAATTGGGAGACTATTGAGAGGATATCCACTGATGGTCCAAAGCCTTGGGGACACAAAGTGCATGAGAGCTTAAGAGGTCATGGATGGTTGGTGAGTGCAATGTATTGGCATATGGTGGTGGAGCACAGAGGATCTGCATGAGGCAACTTATTGGGCACTAGAAGATTATGCACTGTTTTTGTTCCACAATTTGGTATGGGACTTTTGTTTTTGGACTTGTTGATCCATATCACTTTATGTTTCTGTTTATGTTACTGTATGTTAGTTGGAATATTGTTTGTATAGCATACATGTGAAGCGCCATACCATACTATAATAGTTTTATTTACCATGTCTTTATAAGTTACGAGGACCCCAGCAGTGAGATTAACCATTAAGTTTATTACAGCTCTGACCAGGGGCGGACTGACCATTCGAGCACTCGGGCACCGCCCGAGGGCCTGGGGTCAGTAGGGGGCCCCATGAAATGCCCCTGGTACCTTTTTTATAGGCTTTTTTGAGTGTGGGCAAGGACACAGGGGCCCCATGATCCCCTATTGCCCGGGGGCCCTATGAGTTGTCAGTCCTCCCCTGGCTCTGACAGACCAGGCAGCTATAGATAATCTATTAGGAAGTGATCAGCATTGAACCTAATAACTGTGCCCTCTAGTGGATTGCTATAGGAATACATGGATCATTCACTTGGGATACTGACAACAGTAGCTTAGCTGGAAAGTTTAGCTTGGCTCCAGTGTTGTGCTGGGGATGGGGAAAATTGTTCTTCTGGGATCTCAAAGAGCAGGAAGGAACTCAAAAGAAGATCAAACTGCCCAACCTAAATCAGCGGAGCTTATTATCATTGAAGACAATATGGAACCCTTTCACATAGAAAGAATTCCCATTTATGCACATGAGCTTCCAAATATCTTTAAAATTCTGTTTTCTCTGTCTGTTAGCTGGGATGCTATAAAATGGATAATAACAGGGATGGATCTGTGTTAGAAGTGCTTGATTATTGTAATGAAATAGAAATGCAATGTATTGTAAGCCACAATTAAAAAGTGATTTAGGGCAGTCTGCCAATTCAGCTTCATAGATATATTTAATAGTGCTTTTGGTGTACTGCTCACGTTTCCAAATTCAAACAGCACAATATGCCTTTCTTTTTTTTTCCTTACTTGGAGTTATTTTCCCTTAAATGGGCAGAAAGTGTAGCCTAATTTATTATGTGCTGAGAGCATGCCCTTTAGTTTATTTATATTTATACATGACTTAGTTGGAGCCACATTTGAAGCTGGGAAATAAAGAATAATCATAGGTTTTGTGTGGTAGGTATAGCCCATGAAATCTACATTTTAAAGAAAACCTCTGCCCACAATTGTTCATTTTCTTGTGGATGTTGAGTAAAAGCTGAGCTCCATGCAGATAAAAAAAAACACCAATTAAAGTAGTATAAGTACTTGTAAACCTCTGACATGAAATATGAACAAAACATATCCCTCTAAAGTGTGTACTTGTCTCAACCCAGAGTACTAAGTGTCATTCCTCTCTGCTGCCTCAGCCGTCTGCTATAAGCACGAGTCACTTCTAATGAGTTTTCCTGACACTAAGCAAAAAATTATGATGGGGAGGGCACAGCTTGTGATTGACATCCTCAGCTCCGTTCTCGTGAGCTGTGTGAAGTGGGTGTGTCCCTTCCTTCCAATCAGCTCTCAGAGCTCTTCTCAGTAGGTGTGTATCTTCAGCTCCCCGCCCCCTGCTTTTAATTGCTGAGAGATGCTGTGTAAATGTATGCACTTTGAATGGATGTAGGGGGCAGTCGGCTGTAGATAAACTGATACAACTTATGTAGGAGGATTGGTTTCATCTCTGGGTATCATCTGAGGCCAGTTACTTTACATATATATAATGTTTTGCAACCACTTTGCATTTAATATTTTTTTAAGACAGCAACTGTAAGTACCTGTCTTCATATGAGCATCCTGTATTTCCCTACATAGACCTTGCCAATATTCAGCCTGTTCAGTAGGAATCAGACAAATTTCAAAACATATTTACCCATTCCTGTTCTATAGAAGACAATTTTAGATTGACTTTTGTTGAACAAGAATATTAGAAAGCTTTTTTCAACCAGCCACTGATCAGTGTTTTCTGACACCAGAAAGTCCCGTTGTCAAAATACAATGTCCTGGGGGGGGGGGGGAGCATCCTCCATCCACCTCGCTTGTGCACTTTTACTGTCCAATCAGCAGCCTGGAAGTGTGTTCTTAAAGCAGAGTTTCACCTAAAAGTGGAAGCTCCGCTTGTTTCCCTCCTTCCCCCCTCCACTGCCATATTTGGCACTTTTTTGAGGGGAAGCAAAGGGGAATACCTGTTTTTGACAGGTACCCATTCCCACTTCCTGCTCAGTTCAGCATGGTGAAGTGAGCCAGACGTTCAGCCCCCCCTCCTTCCCTCCGCAGTCTTCTGGGACATTTCACAGGTTCCAGAAGACTGCCGGACCAATCAGGATGTGCAGAATGACTTGCGCATGTGCAGTGGGCACCCGGCTGTGAAGCTGCAAGCTGTCACAGCCTGGTGCCCACAGTTCAGATGTCGGTGCTGGGGGGAGAGAAGGGATGGTATGGGTAAAGAACATCGCTGGACCCGGGACAGGTAAGCGTGTGTTTAATAAAAGTCAGCAGCTACAGTTTTTATAGCTGCTGACTTTAATACACACAAAAATGACTAGAACTCTGCTTTAACTCGCTTGGCTTCAACTCACTTGACTAGAGCTTTCATTCAACTGTGTGCTTTTACCACCCCTCCCCAACTGCAGGTGTAAGGTCCCCAACCACTCCCCCTTAAGCTGCAAAGGCAATGATTGGGGGTGTACACATGCAAAAATTATCCCCCCTCTCATGTTTGGTAGCAGTTCCACCCGCCGAACGCAACTCATTCAAATGAAAGGAGTGGCTCTGCAACCACAATGCAATGCACATGGTTGCAGGGTGGTGGTGTGGGTTTTTAGGGCTTAAACAGGCAATGAGGAGGTAACATAATGCCTCCTCACTGTAACTGTTATTGTTAAAATGATGGGTTTAGTTTCACTTTAAAGTGGTTGTAAACCTCAGACATGAACAAAGCATGTTCCTCTATAGTGTGTATTTGTCTCAATTAAGAGCACTAAATGTCATTTCTGTCAAATGGCTTGTTCCTCTATTATCAGCATAAGTCACTTTGGATATGTTTTCCTGACACTAAGAGAAAAATGGTGACAGGGGAGGGAGATCCAACTGATTAACAGCTTCAGCTCTGTTTCTGTGTACTGTGAGAAGTTGGGTAAGCCCTTTCCCTCCAATCAGCATTCTGAGCTCTCCTCACTTAGCTCCGCAGAATGCAACTTCAGCTCTCCGCCCCCTTTTTTCTGACAGCTCACATAGGCTTTATAAATTCTTGACTTTGAACGAATGTAGAGAAGACTGTAGATAAAAAGGTACGTTTGCAGGAAGATTTGTTTCATCTCTGTGTATCACCTGAGGATAGTTCACTTCACTGGGTATATGTGAGGGTTTACAACCAGGGGCGGACTGACCATTTGGAAACTCGGTCAGTAGGGGGCCCCATGAGATGCCCCTGGTACCTTTTTCATAGGCTTTTTTGAGTTTGGGCAAGGACACAGGGGCCCCATGATCCCCTATTGCCCGGGGGCCCCATGAGTTGTCAGTCCGCCCCTGTTTACAACCACTTTAAGCTATCCATGCTCACATTGATTTTTCTGTTCAGCCCTAAACAGTGCAGATGGAAGAACCTTCCCTGCTGGCTTGATGTATTTTTACAACTGTCACCTGTGATTTTCAGAATACCTAAACAGTGACTGCATTATTTGGATGCAGTCATTGTTCAGCTGAAAAATTTCCCCCTAGCTCCTTTGACAAAAGTTGATTTAAAGCGGATTTCCACCTGAAAAAAAATAAAAAATAAGAGTCAGTAGCTACAAAAACTGTAGCTGCTGACTTTTAAATTACAGATACTTATCTGTCCCTCGGTTCAGCAGTGTCCTCACCACCACTGGTTTCACCGGCTGTCTTCTCTCCCTGGCACTGGCATCTTCAGTGTGGGCACCCAGCTGTGACAGCTTGCGGCTTCACAGCCGGGTGCCCACTGCGCATGCACGAGAAGCACTGCGCTTTGTGAATGGCCCGTAGTTTTCTGGGGCCTGTCACGTGACTCAGAAGACTATGGGGAGGAGGACAACTTCTGCTTCCGATCACCTAGGCAATCGTAGTGCAAGTGGGTGCGCATACCTGTCAAATTCGGGTACTTGCTCCCCCCCCCCCACTCTACCAATCCTTAATGGAGAGCAGGGGACAAAGGCTTAAAGTGGAACTTCCCCTTTGGGTGGAGCTCCGCTTTAACCACTTATGGACTGCCCTATAGCAGTTTTACTGCTACAGGGCAGCCTCCTGTGCAAAATCATGCATATATACGTGTATATATATATGTGTATATGTATCATGTATATATACGTGATTTTGCACTTCCGCCTCACGACAGCGCATGCTCACTGCCGGCTGATCGCTTCTGCTGTGAACTGTCACATCAGAAGCCGACAGGGGCACCCATGGCTTAAATTTTGGCTGATTCAGCAGGACCATTTAAGGAGGTCAGCTAATGATGACCTGTATTTTATATTTCTCTTGAGATGGTTTCCTTTAGGCTACCTATCAGGGGCGGACTGACAACTCATGGGGCCCCCGGGCAATAGGGAATCATGGGGCCCCTGTGTCCTTGCCCAAACTCAAAAAAGCCTATGAAAAAGGTACCAGGGGCATCTTATGGGGCCCCCTACTGACCCTGGGCCCTCGGGCAGTGCCCGAGTTTCCAAATGGTCAGTCCGCCCTTGCTACCTATAGATGAGAGGAAAGTGGTCTGACTTGAGCCAAATTAAGTAAAATCTCCTTGGAGGTGGGCAAATGCCCACTGATTAACCCCTTGGGGTGAAGAATAATGGGTTAGAAGACATATACCTCTGTTATCACCTCCAGCAGTGCCTGTTTGTCTTACCCTCCATCTAAAGGCATAAATCAGACATTTTCTGTTTATACGACACGTTCTGTTGCAACGACAACTCAAAATTTTGGATTTCCTCATCACTTTTGGTCCCAATGACAATGGGCACCAGGTTATATAGATGGGATAATCTCCCCAACAAGAACAAAATAAAATAAAAAGATCACTGAATTTAGATACAGTGTAAAATATCAGGCCTTATGAGAGTATATAGTAAAACTCCAATGATATATCTCCAAAAATTGAGACATTACATTGCTAAGTCTGTTTGATAAGCCTAAGCCCGTGATTCATGTAATTATTTTCGTACAAAGTCTATGACGTTTATAAACTTGTCACTGACTAGCGTCCAGACCTTCTAATGAATCCCACTTCTCGCTTCAACTTTCACTTAAAACATGGATTTCTTGAAGGTGTTTCCTTTCCTGACATCTGTTTACTGTCAATGAGCAGAACACCAGGTTCCCAGGCGTCTCTCCTTGAGCTCATTTTCATTTCTCTGACATCATCATGGGGAGGAGGCCAGAGCAGCTGACTGTCAGTAAGCCTAGGTCTCCCACAGGCGGGTGGTTGTACAAGAAACAAATGCCAGCTTTAATGCCAAGTACCGCTGTTTGTTGATTTATGCTGAAGTTCATCACTTGATACATGTTAATACATGTTTTCTTCTTTTCCAGGTCAATATGTTGTTAGATATAAAATATATATTTTGGATATGCTCAGCATTCCACCTTTCCTATGCATTCCGTGAAGGTAAGAATTTTGTTTATTGAAATGATAAACCCAAATGGAAATAAAAACACCATGTAGTTTAGTCATACTGTATATCCATTCGTTTACACGCTCTCTCTGTGCATGTGTGGGTTTCCTCCAGGTTCTCCGGTTTCCTCCCACACTTCAAAGACATGCTCACAGGTTAATTGGCTCCTGTTTAAATTGGCCCTAGGTATGAATGTGAGTTAGAGACTTAAGATTGTAAAGTCCTTGAGGGTTAGGGACTGATGTGAATGTAAAACGCATATGTAAAGTGATGCTTAAATTGACGCTGCTATCAGGGGCGGACTGACAACTCATGGGGCCCCCAGGCAATAGGGGATCATGGGGCCCCTGTGTCCTTGCCAAAACTCAAAAAAACCTATGAAAAAGGTACCAGGGGCATCTCATGGATCCCCCTACTGACCCAGTGCCCGAGTTTCCAAATGGTCAGTCCGCCCCTGGCTACTATATAAGTACCTGAAATAATTAAATAAGATCATTGACTGCAGTGAATATGTATAGAGATGACCCTATGAGTATACTGCTGCCCATTCTATGTCCATTCACAGGGTAGGGTGCGTCCTGGATCAGGCTCAACAGCAGTTTAGTCTGCAGGGTTCTGGAACCACAAGATTGGCTGAGTAAACATTATAGTTTCATAGTTACATAGTTGCATAGTTAGTTTGGCTGAAAAAAAAGATAAAAGTCCATCCAGTTCAACCATAGAAAAAAAAAAAGTTATAATCCTATACCCACAGTTGATCCAGAGGAAGGCAAAAAAACCCAGCAAAGCATGATCCAATTTGCTCCTGCAGGGAAAAAAATTCCTTCCTGATCCCCTGAGAGGCAATCAGATATTCCCTGGATCAACTTTACCTATAAATGTTAGTATCCAGTTATATTCTGTGTATCTAAGAAATAATCCAGGCCTTTTTTAAAGCAGTCCACTGATCTGGTCTGAACCAACTCTTGAGGGAGTCTACTCCACATTTTCACAGCTCTCACTGTGAAGAAACCTTTCCATATTTGGAGATTAAATTTCTTTTCCTCCAGACCTAAAACGTGTCCATGAGTACATGAATAATAAAGAGAAACTCCACCTTTGTTGAGAAAAAAACATTCCCCTCTGGGTGATCTATGTACATTGCAAACTTTGGGGCAGATTCCTACCTTCCGGTATTCTTCAGAAATAGCTATTTGTCTGTGTTCATGTGCAGAGTGAATCTGTATTTTATCATTGTCAATCAGTTGCTGCACCTGCAGAGCTCTAATGAGGAAAGTGGCAGTGTCTGCATCCCTTAAGGCTATGTTCACACCTATGCAGTTTGCGTCTGATTAGTTTCTACAGTGCTTTTTTGCGGTGCAGTTTGCATTTTTGCACATGTGTTTTTGATGTGCTTTTGCCACGTTTTTGATGCATTTTGCTTTTTGCGTTTTTTTTTTTTTCCAACTTGTTGCTGGGCAGATTAAAATGCAACAAAAAGGCACTACGTGCCTTTCTGCGGCATCTCCATTGAACTCTACAGAACCAAAAATGCAAGGTTTTGAATTTAAAAAAGTCCCTGACCCTTTCTGAAAAATGCACCGGGGGGAAAATGCGGAGATGTGAACCTGACCCATAGGAAATCATGTTAAATGAACTGCTGTGCATTTCTGCAAACGGAACGGAAAACGCATAGGTGTGAACTTAGACTAAGATGTGATTTCCCTTTGGGAGTATCTTATCAACAATTAAATTTTTGTTGCAGGGGAAGCCAAAAATCTGACTTTAATCTTAGTGCAGATTTCTGGGAAAATCAGTAAGCCAATCATACAAGCAGAACATGACATTTTCAGGGGGTGTTCTGTATAACATCTGTATACAGAATGCCTCCAGGTAGCCGTGTTGCATTGCATTTTACAGAAAACTACAGTGTTGCAGACTGAAAAGGAAAGCTACGTTTTATTAAATTACAACATGACTTTAGTCACATTATTATATGCCATATTATTTTTGTTCATTTGCTATTTTTTTACCATGAAAGTGGAGTTACCCTTTAACCGCCTCCCGCCCGCCATATAGTACAATGCGGGCGCAAGGCGGTTCTCTTGTTCTAACCATGCATGCGTGGCTCCGGGAGCGCGCAGCGCGGTGATCGGTGGTGCGCTGTCCCTCGGACACTGCGGATCACCGATCAACAGAAAGAGCTGACGATGTCGGCTCGGTCATGTGATCAATTGTGTCCAATCACAGCTGATCGCATGTAAACAGGGAAATGCCGGTTATCGGCATTTCTCTCCTCACAAGCTGTCACGCTGACAGAAGAGAGGAGAGTCGGTAATCGGCATTCCTCAGAGGGGACATGTACACAGATCATCAGAGCACTGATGATCAGTATGCCCTGATGATCTGTGTAGCCCCAGCAGTGCCACCTGTCAGTGTCCATCAGTGCCAGCTGTCAGTGCTCATCCATGCCAGCTGCCAGTGCCACATCAGTGCCACATTTCAGTGCCTACCAGTGCACATCAATGCCACATATCAGTGCCCATCTGAGCTGCCTTTCAGTGTCACCCATCAGTGCCAGTCAGTGCCACCTATCAATGCCAGTCAGTGCCACCTATCAGTGTGCATCAGTGCTGCCTATCAGTGCCCGTCAGTGCTGCCTATCAGTGCCACCTAACAGTGCCAGTTAGTGCCACCTAACAGTGCCAGTCAGCGCCGCTTATCAGTACCAGTCAGTGCTGCCTATCAGTGCCATATATGAGTGCTGCCTTTCAATGCCCATCAGTGATGCCTGTCAATGCCCATCAGTGCCACCTACCAGTGCCTCCTCATCAGTGCCCATCAGTGACACCTATCAGTGTCCATCACTGCAGCCTCATTAGCGCACATCAGTGAAGGAGAAAAATCACTTATTTACAAACAAAAACT